TGGTGGGAGAAAGGTATTAAATTTTTTTCCAAAAGTTTTTTCAATCATCCTAGTGACTAACAGTATGCTTATAAATACCTTATGCGTTTAGTTTTAACCAGGGAATACCTAGGCATTTCTCTAAATTTCCACCTTTAAGAGTACCTAATGTCACTTCTGCCAACAATCTTGACATAACAGTAGTCCTTACATTTGGAGGTGATTCAATATCCCTACCTTGGCCCAGCTGCATCTTTAAAAGCTCCAGTCATAAGCAAGACCAAGGCCCTGAGAGCAGAGAGCATCACCAGTAAGAACTTTGGACTAAAATGGACAAGAGCCCTCTGTCTGATCAAGCACACTACCAAGGCACTCTCTGAAAAGAAGAAGGAAGAAGAAAGAAGAAGGAAGAAAGAAGAAGAACCAAAGAATAGAAAATTATCCTTATGGATATTTCTAGGTTAAAAACATAGGAGGAGATCTCAACCTATTGAGTAAGATGATCCAATATATAATCAGTCTATTGAATTTCAATGGCATTTTATAAACTTAAAATTTAGAAAGAAGGGAACAGCAAAGAGCTACTATCTCAGTCTTACATCCTACTAGCAAATAAACCAGGAGTCTTGGGCTCAACTGCCTACAAAAACATATGAATAGAATAAATGAGCAAAGGGGATTAAGTGAACTGGGCTTTAGAGTCTGAAAAGCAATGGGGAGCATTGGAGACTTGGCAAACTGGAATTCATGTACCTGAAACACTTGCTCCTTCTAGTGGAAACACTACACAGCTGCAGCAGTTTGTGCCACTCAAAATTCAAGCCCAGAATTGCCAGATCCTCCCATTTCTCTAAAGAATCCAAAATTATAAATTCTTACATGAATTTCTTGTTTCTTAGAGTTTGGCAATTAATTAAATTTCTTTTCAAAACATATAGGCCACATGTATGTATGAGCCAGTCTGGCCCACAGAACACTACTGTGGAATCTCAGATTACACATGCAACCCTTAAGGCACCCAATTTTCACAAGTACTCTACGCTGCTCCCATGCCCTATGTGCTTCCTTCCTATCTGCTGCCCCTTTCCTCAATATGCCAAATTAGTGCAAGCTTCACAGAACCTAGGGGGTGTGTGGAGTGTGAATAAAGGATGCTATCTAGCTTCACTCACCCAATTCAAGGATCAGATGAACTCTGATCTTAATACAAGGAACTGTCATTTTGGAAATAAAAATTAATTATTATGGACAGTTATGTTAGGTCAGACCACTGAGCCAAATTAAATCATTTTTTTTAAATTATAAAAGTAAAGAATAAGTCTTACATCTCTGAAAAGTCCTCTTTTTTCTTTTAAGAACCCTTAGATGTCTTGTTTCATATATCAAAAATGGTTAACTGCTCTCAGTGTCACAGCTTTGGCATTAGCTAGCATTATTTCATGCTAGAGGTCAAAGAATAGACCTCAAAAGAAATTCATTAACAAAACTGAAAATCATTTTCATTGAAAATGCTGTAGGATTTTTAGCTTCTACACAAAATTGATTACCTACTTTAAAATATGTTTACCTAATGGTATCCTATTCCAATTAATGTAAGTCAAAATGTTTAAGGAATGAGTTAACCCTCCTGAGATTCAACCTACACATCTAGTTTGTAGATACACAGTTTCTAGATATCTTTTTCCACAGGGTCTAACAGGACTTTAATATTAAATAATCTTTGTTAATCATATAAACAAATTATAGCCTATCATAATCTAGAAGACTTTCTTCTTTTACTACATAAGGGTATGGTTTTTAATGCAGGGTGTCTCAAACATTCACTTAAGAAGGACTGAATCAGCCCTGCTAGTGGGGCCCAATGGTTGAGCGTTGACTTATGAACCAGGAGGTCATGGTATATTTCTGCTCAGGGCATATGCCCGGGTTGAAGCTTGATTCCCCCACCCCAATGTGGGGTGTGCAGAAGGCAGCCAATCAATAAGGCCCAATGGTTGAGCGTTGACTTATGAACCAGGTCATGGTATATTCCTGCTCAGGGCATATGCCCGGGTTGAGGCTTGATTCCCCCACCCCAATGTGGGGTGTGCAGAAGGCAGCCAATCAATAATTCTCTCATCATTGATGTTTCTACTATATTTCTCTTAGTCTCCCACTCTGAAATCAATAATGTACCTCTGAAAACAGACTCACCCTTATGTACATGATTTATAATTGTTGTTTTTGTTTCTCATTATCAGGAAACCTACAAAATATTACAATTTAAAGTACTGTGCTATAAGAACAGGTAAATTATTCACATATTGTTAATACTTTATTTTTCTAGGATACTATGGCAACATCCATACTTTCCAAGAAGGAAGTAACACGAAAAGAAGGAGAAAGGGGAAAAAAGAAAATGGGAAGATTGCTAACCCCACAATACTCAAATGCAAGAGTATTCTAATTCTTAAAAATTTACATAATAGAGGATGATACCCACACAATGGTCTGGTTATTAAAGCAAACCTTTCAACAAGAAAATAGTAGTGTTTTTGAACAATCATAACAGCAAGAGGAAAATCTGGTTTCCTAGAAAAAGAAAGTTTCAGAAAGACCCACAGCAAATGTTGATTTTTTTTTTCCTTTTCACCGTGCTTTCTTTTATTTTTTTAATACATTTTTATTGATTTCAGAGAAGAAGGTAGAGGGAGAAAGAAATAAGAGACATCAATGATGAGAAAGAATCACTGATTGGCTGCCTTCTGCACGCCCCCTACTAAGGATCAAGCCTGCAACCCTGGCCTGTGCCCTTAACCAGAATTAAACTGGCCGATGATCTATCCACTGAGCCAAACCGGCTAGGGCTCACCATGTTTTCTTGACAGTGTAAATTCTGAAGAACAAATCTACGTGAGGAATAGCAACAAGTTTTACAAATGATCAAGTTACTATATTTTATATGTCACAAATAACAAATAGCTCTATAAAAATCTGTTCCTTCCATAAAAATTAGATTTGTAAATGAAAATACACCTTTCAAACCTATTTATGACATCACAACCAGAGTAGCAGATTTATTTACATTCTTCTCAACTAACTCATACCTTTTTGTACAAAAATGACATACAATGTATGATTCTTTCTTAAGAAATAATTAGTAGTCCTTGCTTTGAGATTCATAATAGAGCTTAACCATTTTCATTTCCCCCTTTAAGGGCAGGACACCAACTAGGCACGTACCTTTTAGTTTTTATTTCAAAAACACCATGGAAGTCTGGCTAATGGGGTCTCATGATAATGAAAATGAAATGATTCAATATTCAATGCAGATAAATGCTCATTATATTCCAACTTACCTAAAACACTGACAAAGGCATCAAAAAGATGAAATGTAAGCAGAGGCTCTTTCAAGTGACCATAGTAGTCTGCTATGGTCTTAAAGACATCTTTCTCAAATCCTAAGTACATAGGCTGCTCCAAATCTGAACAATTTTGCCCTATTGAAAAAAGAGAATGAGATAGAAAGAGAAACATTAACAGGGCACCCACTAAGTACTAACCTCTGTACATATGTGTATTCTGTACAGATATTCAAGATCAGATAAGTTTTCATAGGGAAAACTTACATCAAATAAACTGATATTATACATTTTGCTTACACAAATATGACAGAAAAGTTTTCATGGGGAAAACTGACATTAAATAAATGACATTATACATTTTGCTTACACAGATACGATTTATGTCTACATGGAAATCTATTATAACACAATGAGAAAAATCACTGGCTTACTTCCATTTTAAAAGAAACCCACTCTTTCTTTTATGTCCTTCTGAAAGGCATTTTTATTAAATGAAGACAACAATAATATTCTTTGAAATATTCAATATTTTCCTAGTCTTGACAGTTAACCATAACGATTAGCTCATGATAACAATTAGCTCACACGTGTAATAGATAAATTACAAAACAATCTTAAAGCTTTTCATTATTTTATCATTGCTATATTATAATATTCTAGAGTCAGAGTTGTGTGAAATTATCAAGTTCTGTCTCTATTTCAGACTGATTAAGAATTTATGTATTCTTTCTTATAGACATTTTGAAAAGGGGATTTTACATTATGTCTTTCATTCTGATTATAAAACTCTCTACTCAATCCCCAACCAACCATCAAAAGACAGTTTATCAAGAAGATATTGCAAAGTTGGAGTAACTACAAGAAGTTTGGAACAACCTCGTTCTAGCCCTAGCCTATGCCACCAGCAAGGCAAAGATTCACTTGTATTTGGGACCAAAGAGGAACAAAAAATGCTTAGCTCTCTTCAGAGTTGGCAGCAAATGCCCCAAACAATACCTTCAGAGACCACAGATTTACACTGTTAAGTGGAAAGATAAACTAGAGCTGCCCATGTCTTCAGGGAAATGGCAAGCAATCCCATGAGGAACAGTTTGGCCAGCCTTCTCTATTTCCATCACCACATGGAAGAAAGAAGTTTAATTGCACTGGCCAGTTCCGGGCTAGCAGAACACAAGACTCAACAACTGTACCCAAAGAGATCTCTTCCCTCAGGAGAATGAAAGATGAAGCCAATAAAAACTGAAAGGAAATTCTACCTACAGAACTGCTATGACTAGAAAGGACCACACTGAAAAAGACAAGCATTCTGGGCCTTCACATTTCAAGGAAATTGAACATAGTGAATATGGCTTTTTGTTGGTCTCTCTAAAAAATGCTTCTTACCTCTTAATATTCTGTACTCTTCTAAAATAATTTGGCTAAAATAATAAAAATTTTGGAAGATTTTTATGTGTGGTACCACATTAACCTAGCAGCAAACAACCACCATTTTTTGCTTGTTTCCTCCTCTAAAATATTACAGTCTAAGTCAAGTGAAATGCTATCATTAGTTTGATATGTCTCAGCAAGCAAACACATTGCCTTGACTTACTCCCTCCCAGGATAAATATGCAGTTCATTCTAAACAATCGTACCCTTTTGTGAACATTCCATCATTCTTGTTAAAAATATGCCCCAAAAAAAGGGTGGGGGGGAGTTTCCTAAAAATACTACTGCATAGTGAGCTCTATGAGAAGAGGCCACATTTCTAAGATCTTTCATTTCTTAATTATCTTGAGCTTCAGAATATTTTTTAAAACTAGTTTTTTATAAATGTTATTCCTGACAGATTTTGGAAGAGTTGTTTGTATCCATTTCTGATTGAATGCTTGCAATCTACACACACAAAGAAGAAAAAATCACAATTAACCTGATTTTGTATTTATCTGGCATTAGTTCTTCATTTTGCGGTCAACCACAAGGCTAATGAACAATGAAAGTACCCAGGCCTATGTGTGCATGGTCTACACTAAATGCAAACAGGCTTGAAGAAGGGAGCAGCAGATTTATAGCAAAGAAGGCCCTAGGCCTTCAAAATATTATATAATAAGTCTATCCTTTTTGCTCCCTATTAGAAGACTACAACGGGAATCTGGACTCATTAAAAATAAAAAGTGTAAGAAATAGTTCATAACTTTGACAGATTCAAAATAAACTTTGGAGACAAATGAGAATTTGGAAAAATTAATCCTATATAATAAAAGGGTAATATGCAAATTGACCGTAACCGCAGAACAACTGGGAATAACTGGGTCACTATGACACATACTGACCACCAGGGGGCGGACAACAATGCAGGAGCTGCCCCCTGGTGGTCAGTGCCCTCCCACAGGGGGAGCTCTGCTCAGCCACAAGCCAGGCTGCTAGCACAGGTGGTGGCGGGAGCCTCTCCCACCTCCTCAGCAGTGCTAAGGAAGTCTGACTGCAGCTTAGGCCTGCTCCCCACTGGCAAGTGGACATCCCTGAGGCTCCTGGGCTGCCAGAGGGATGTCTGAATGTCCGGGGGATTGGGCCTAAGCCAGCAGGTGGACATCCCGCAAGGGGTCTCAGACTGCGAGAGGGCACAGGTCGGGCTAAGGGGGCGCCCCCAAGTGCACAAACTTTTGTGCACCGGGCCTGTAGTCTATACTAATAAAAGAGAAACATGCAAATTGGTGTCATTCCACTACGCCCACCAGCCAATCAGAGCAACTATGCAAATTAACCCAACAAAGATGGCGGTTAATTTGCACATGCAGGCGCAGAGCCAAGACTGAAGGGTCCGCTGGAGTGAAGACTGAAGATTCAAGAGGCTTGGCTTCTCCGCTGTGGCTGGACCAAAGGCCTGGGTCCCAGGTGCCGGAGGAAAACCAGTGCCGGCAGTCAGGGGAAGGAAGGCGTGTTGCGCGAATCTTTGTGCAATGGGCTTTTAATTTATAAAACTAATCAAAAGGCTGACTTTGCTCTTTGACCACCTTGTTTTCTTTGACACATAAACAAGCATCTTTATGAATATGCCAACCATCCACTGCACTTGCTACATATGAGACATGTTCCTGTCCCAAGAATTTCCACCTAATATTAAACCACCTGACACACATGGAGAACATTACTGAGTTGCTCCTCACATCTTTCCTCTCCATTGATGAGCAATTCCAGTTATTCTAACCTTTTCTGCAGAAGTTTGGTGGCTTTATGTATACATCTTCCTTGAGGGAAAACTATACTCTTCATTAAGTTTTGATCATCACTGAAAATTCAACATTATAGCCACACCTTAATATACACTTTACAACATATTATAGTCTAGATTTGTTATTCTGGCTTCCTCAACCTCCAAGTCCTAAGTTTGCCAGGAATTCAGAAATGGGCCATTTAACCTCCCATTTACACCTTCCATCTTGTCACTGCCAACTCTGGCCAAATATATAATTTAAACTTAAGTGATTCAAATGATTGAGCAAGAATAAAAATCACTCTCCCAAGGTAAAACCACAGAACTCTACATCTCAGAGGTCCAAAATATTAACCAAAACTGGCCAATATTTTTAATAGTTAATTATACATGGAGATCTTTGGGCTTTACATAAACTAATGTTGCTATTCACACTCAGAATGATAATATATAATCATTTTTTATATATCAACACTGAGATCACCCACTATCATCTGAATAGTTATTTTAATTTCATTCTATAATCAAACAAAACAAACTTCAGTTAAGTAAGACTCTGTAGAGTCTACTAATTCAAGAATTTATACACCTATCTCTGCTCATATTAGTCTCACCCAAAAGGGAAGAAAGAAACTACCTCTCTGCAGTGATCTGTGATGCTTCAAAAGACCCAGAGAATATCACCACTATCCGTCAGCCAAATAACTAGAATTCTTCTTGTTAAAACCATTGGTTTAAGTTAAGCCATTGACCATTAAAATCCCTTCTTTGGGTCAAGCCTTCTGAAAATCCCCCCAAAATAGTAATGTTAAATGAGATACTACAATTAATTGTTGTTTCACAGTGCCTACGATATCCAATCAAGTGATGTAATCTGATAAAGTGATATAATTCTTAGGATAATTGAATAAAGTAGGTATCAACTGCCTATGAAATAGATTTTGTATGCCTATGAAAAACTTCAAAAAGACCACCCTGATACAGGTGTCTTCATCGTACATCCAAATTACTGAAAGTCTTTCTTGCTTCTCTGCATTCTTCTCCTTCCAAACCATCTTGCATACCAATCAGATTAGCCTTCTAAAACATTTCCCTCCCACTTAAACTATTGCCCTGTAAAAGCCAATAGCAGACAGGATCTGCTAAGCAAACTGATAATGTAAATATAGGACATAATTAGGAACACATGTTTTAAGAATAAAAATCAGACAACAGAAAATGAAAACACAAATTCCTTTAAACTCATTCTATAATCAGCCCTTTCACCAAGTCACACATTTAACAGTAAAAGTATAGTAATCTCAAAATGATTAACTGCCAGTCACACAGGTAGGCCATTGAGCAAAAATATATTCTAATTCAGTGCGCTAATTTCTGTTAATTTCATAAAATTGGCAGACAATAAGTACTTACAATTTGCCAAACACTTCATTGCTGACAGTACCCAATGAGGAAGTTCTTCTGCAGAAAAATAAAAAGATATTCTATTTGATGGCGTATAACTCTAGAAATTACATACATAATTGGTATCATATTAGTGTAGTACTTGCCTAAGTAGTATAAAACATATCTGCTAATCAAAATCACCTATTTATGATGTAGAACTTTAAAAGATGAAACTTTTTCCTTAGCAGCAGTGGTACACTTGCTTGTATAAATCATGCCTGCAAAATTCTCTAAGGACAAGATGAACTTTTTAAAGCTTCAGTGACAAGAAGAAAATTTGATCCTTTGTTCCAGGGAAACAAACTAACACACAAATCAATTATCCTAAGAATTATATCCAGCAATGAAAAAAAGATAGGTATCACTTTACATGTTTCAATTTTCAAAATGTTTTAAGCAAACCAAGTTCTACTGACATACTAGTGTAGGCTATTCATATTAGAAAATAATAATGGTTAACACTGCTACAAAAAATCCTAGGTGAGCCATTTGATAGAGTGTTTTCCTCCTTCCTGGCCCTGTCACAGGCATCTGATGAGATCGGCTGGCACTCACGCTTCCACTTCTCCATCTTCTCTATTTTCGGTAAAATTGAAAAGACACTGGTTGAATTGTTAGACCTAATGAACCTGAGACTTGTGATTGTCCTCCTTGCTGAAGAACTTATTTAATAAGACAAAAAAAAATGACTAGTCATCCAACTGGTAGCTAAAAGTATTAATGTTTGCTATACTCAGGAACGTGAAAGTATTTTAGATCTACTTCAAAGGCAACACCCCCCTCATTCTATGTAACTTAATTTTACATGTTGGTATTAACCAGACAACTCATGAATTCACAAATGAATTTCTGTTTCCTGATGTCCTTCATTCCTGATACAGGAGCTAAAAAGGGGAAGTATTTCAAGTTTCAAAGACACATTCTGTTCCTGTCAGGAAACTTGGCCTTGAGCAACCTCTTCCCTCTCACCACTGCTCGGTCTCCCTCTGGTACAGCTCTGTCTGCTGCCAGGAGCCTCCAGCCTAAACTCTAATAAAACCCAAAAGTGCCAAAACCGGTTTGGCTCAGTGGATAGAGTGTCAGCCTGCGGACTGAAAAGTCCTGGGTTCGATTCTGGTCAAGGGCATGTACCTAGGTTGCGGGCACATCCCCAGTAGGAAATGTGCAGGAGGCAGCTGATCGATGTTTCTCTCTCATCGATGTTTCTAACTCTCTATCTCTCTCCCTTCCTCTCTGTAAAAAATCAATAAAATATATTTCTTTAAAAAAAAGTACTGTACCACCTCCCCACATCCAAAGGTCATTCTAGTTCCAGTTAAATCCCAGGTTAAGTGTTTGAAGTAAAGGAAGACCCAATCAAAGAGACTGTTCAATTCTAGCCCATCCCTTATTCAGGGGAAGGAAGTTGTGAAATCAGTTTGGAGATTCTGGTCCACTACATGTACTGTGAGAGTATTTTTCAAAAATCAGGGCCCTACCCAGTTTGCCTCAGTGAATAGATCATCAGCCTGAGGACTGAAGGGCCCCAGGTTCAATTCTGGTCAAGGGCACATGCAGCTTCATCCCCAGTAGGGGTCATCCAGGAGGTAGCCGATCAATGATTCTCTCTCATCATTGATGTTTCTATCTCTCTATCCCTCTCCATTCCTCTCTGAAATCAATAGGGATTTTCTGAGGATAATACAGAACCCCTCTCTGAAATCAATAACAATATATTTAAAACAAAACAGGATAGATAGCTGCTAAATGTTTGTTTTTTTCCTGATTTGTAAACTGGCTTGAAAAAAAAAGGGTATAAAAAATAGAAACACCTTCAACATCTAAAAAGCTACATTTATAAAAAGGACATAAACCAAAAGTATCCCAGAAACACTGACACGGAAATATCATAACAAAAAGGTCAATGAGAACCCTAAAATCAATCAGACCCCAGGATCCACCGAAAACTGACTCAAGCTCTAAGGTAGGTCTTAAACCTACTCACTTTTTAGGGATTTTCTGAGGATAATACAGAACTTTTTAATGCTCATTGTGGCTAATTGAACTGGCTTCTAGATGGATTTTGCTGACATTTTCACCCCTGAGTATTCATCATTCTATGAAATTTCTTTAATCCAAACAATTAGTTAAAAGGTATCAGGATGCAAGATGAGGGAGTATAAATTTATTTAGGATTTAGAGAAGAGTCAAATACAAAGCGATAGATCAAGCAGCCAACATATGGATCAACCAGAAACAAAATGGTTTCTATGCACTTACTTGATTTGTCATCAAGGATAACAACTCCCTGCTTGCTCACACTATATACATTATGCATGATGAACTTGGACTTGACAAGTTTAATGTCTAAAACTTCTTCTAAGGAATCTAGGCCAAGTATTTTCTGTAAACTAAAAAGAAAGATGATAATTACATTATTTAGTTTAATTTTTTTAAAGTCATTATTTACCCCAAATCCTAGCACTGTAAAATATCAATCTTTAAACTGTACTGTGTTGTTTTCTTGCATTTCACCCAATCCTTGTGGGACAAAGGCTAGAAAATGATTATGATAGAACACACTGAAAAATATCCTTTTGCCATTAACATATTGCTTTAGTAATTTAATGACATAACACCTTAAATGCCAAGAAAATTCCATAAGATATTATAAAAACAAGAATTAGCTTATCCAATGATGAGAAACAGCTACTAGTACATCTTTGTGAGAAAAAAACCTGCTATTCACTTTAATTACATAGTACATAAAATATTTAAAAGACCATATTTCTCATTGTATTTCATTAAGAATTCAGTATTACTAGAAAGTTAAAAAACTTTCAAATGTCTACTCTTAACTATTATATAAATTACATAGAAAATAAACCAGAATCCAGTTAAATTATGTTCGATAAGCAGCACAGCTGCAAATAATGCAAAGTTGAGATTTTTATACGTAATTTCAGAAAATTAAATATGCAAAGAATAATGAAGAAATTAGAAAAAAACACTAAAAAGTCTCATTAATATCAAATGCACATACTGTGATAATGTCATAGACTTCCATATCTCTTCTACATTGGCCTCTGTCAGCTGTCTGCGGTAGACAAGGCGGCAAGCCGGCACCTCTCCAATAGCAATACTGTGACGCTTGTACCACATCTCAGAATTCTGATAGCAGGGAGGGGAATAGAAAGAAAGAGAATATTTCAATTGACAGTGGTATTGTTTTATAAGAAATTCTTTAATTTTGTTATTTGTAATTTGATTTAAAATAAAAAGAAAGTAACTTTCTTTGCATGCAGTGCAGAGAAATAAAGTTTGGCTACTATAGATCAGGTCATATTATAAATTAATATTCAGGAATTACAAAAGAGCTATGATGATAAGCATGACATTTCCTGTGGGAGTTCCAAATAATCACGAGAAGCAGCAATGAAATAAAATTTTATTATTTCAAAATTAAGTAGAATGCCTATCCAAGTTCATACACTGTCCAAGTTGAATGATTATTTAAAATAAAAATTATGTTATAGTCAAGAGTTCTCTCATTTTTGTAAGCAAAGATCAAATAAGTACAATGTTGAATAGCAGCCCCCAGACCATAGGCATGTGCAAAAGGCAGGTAAAATAAACCTCCACAGAGAACAGCTAGAGATGGCAAGGAGGAAAACTAATACACAACAAAAATGATTAAGTAATATCTGGATGATATTATGGCAGTGGTCGGCAAACTCATTAGTCAACAGAGCCAAATATCAACAGTACTTCTTCAAAATAGACTCGCCCAGGCCAAAAACCGACTTCTGCGCATGGGCCACGAAGTTTCAATCGCATTGTACGCGCGCCCGCACGTGGTATATTGTGGAAGAGCCACACTCAAGGGACCAAAGAGCCACATGTGGCTCGCGAGCTGCAGTTTGCCGGCATTATGGGTATTTTTTTTTTGTCACTGCCTGTAAACAATTCTTTTAAATACATTACTGAGTACCTGTGTGAACTCACTTGATTCTCGAAACAATCCTACCCCAGAGGGGTATTATCATCCCAGTTCCACCCAAAAGAACACTGAGACAAAAACACAATGAATAAAATAGACACAAGCTCAAATAGGTAGAAAATGGAGGACCCAAGATTCGAGCCCACACTCTTACTTTCCACATTATACTGCCACCCTCAGCAAATACAAAAAATAAATTTATGTATTTCGTTTTATTTGATACTAGCGGCCCAGTGCACAAAATTCGTGCACAGGAGAAGGAGGGTCCCCTCAGCCCAGCCTGCACCCTCTCCAATCTGGGACCTCTCGGGGGATGTCCCTCTCACAATCCTGGACCGCTGGCTCCTAATCACTCACCTGCCTGCTGGCCTGATTGCCCCTCATTGCTGCTGCGTGCCAGCCTGATCGGCCCTAACTGCTCCCCCGCCCATTGCTGGCCTGGTACCCCTAACTGTCTCTGCGTGCTGGCCTGATTGGCCCTAATTGCCCCTAGCTGCCAGCCAGGTCACCCCCAACTGCCCCCCTTTGCCAACCTGGTCGCCCCTAACTTCTCCTGCACCGCCAGTTTGGTCGCCCCCAACTGCCCCTCCTACTGGCCTGGTCGCCCCCAACTACACCCACTACCGATCTGGTCGCCCGTCATGGCCCTCCCTTGCCAGCCTGGTAGCCCCACACAGCCTGCTTTTCAATCATTTGGTTGCCCCTCACAGACCCCCTTGCCAGCCTGGTCACCCCACGTAGCCCGCTGTTCAGTCTTTTGGTGATCCCTCATTAACCCCCCTGTCGGCCTGGTCGCCCCATGCAGCCTGCTTGTTCAGTCATTTGGTTGTCCCTCACTAACCCTTCTACTGGCCTGGTTGTAGGCAGCTATCTTGTGAGGGCGTGGGGGTTAATTTGCATATTACTGCTTTATTATATAGGATAATTGCTAGGCAAGAGAGAAGATAGGACAAAACAAAAACCAAGAAGCAAAGTGGAGAAAGTAAGAAATAAAAAATGAATAATAAGCTCAAGTTCTTCAAGCTCTATTATTAACGCCATCATTCTAACACCTACATCAAGGGAAACAGATCCTGCTCTGCCATTCCTTCTTTGGACAATTCTCAAGAAGTAGCAGTCTAGGCGTTAGTGGAATTTTAATAAGCAGGGAGCTTTCAAACTTCTACCATTCCATTTAAGGGGGAAGTATGAGAAAAGGCAAGGCAACAGTTATCAAAACAAATGTAGATTCAGATGACCAGGAAAATGATACACTGGGGGCAGGGAGGTGGATGAATCGAGACACTGGTATACCACTTCAGGGATCCTGAAAGATTTGAAACTGAATAGAAGATAGAAGTCACTGTCATTGGTGCATTAAAGTATGCTAATGAGCAGTTGGTTTTCCTAGAGGTAATACCAGAAATATTACGACTTTGAAGAACCAAATAGAACAGAAAAGGGAAGTTATTATTGATGACATAAACACACATTAATTTAATATGGGATTCTATCTCTTTTGTTGAATAACAATTCTACAGATGGGGTCATAATAGATGTTTAAATGTGAATGTGCAAAAAAAACAATATACCTTCTCTCATAGAACTTGTATTTTAATTTTCTCTAGATTAGGGACTAGCAAGCCGACCTTAATTAAGTGTTCCTTATTAGGAATTAAATAGTCCTCAAATACCCTTTGTGTTCACTCTTTCAGAATAGTTCCACTATGTTTTCTATTAATCTATGTTTGTATTATTATGCTTCACTAGACTTTGAATCCTTTTAGAACCAAACTGTACCACATATTACTCTATCTGTAGAGTCTAGCACAATGCAAGGCACACAGTAGACACTCAATAAATCTTTGTTGAGTGAGTAAGTTAATGACTTCCAAATATGACAGCCCCCCTAAGTTCCAGCACCATTATCTCCATCTGCCTATTAGACACTTCATTTAATACAACCTAACTGCCTATTAGACACTTCATTTAATACAACCCAACTTTATCATCAAACATATTTAAAACCAAATTCATCACTGTCCCTGACATATCTGTAAGCCCTATAGAGTCCCCATTTCTGTCACCAGTGTCACTTTTTCTTGAATTATCTTTGATACAGCCTAAGCTGCTTAACTATATTCTCCAAACTGAGATAATACAACTTCTTCAGGTATTTTTTTCTTTTCATTACATTGCCAAAAAATGTTTACATCAAATCTTTGCAAACAAAAGCATGAATTGGTCAAGTCATATCAGACTAAATTAATTTAACACATTGGTGTTTTATAATTTTTAAAAACTTCCATACAAAATTTGTCTCTATGTTTTATTTTTTAAGCATTATTTCAATCTTGGTAGTCTTTAATGGGGATATTTTAAAGAAAAAATAGGTCCCCCAAAAAGTTCATTGCATAATCAGCATAGCAAATTCTACCTTTGTTCACATTTTGTGTAGGGCTCATTCCACAATACTCCATGCCCCAACCTTCTCACTCTCAACTGGTGATAAAGTTCAGGAGGAGACAAAGAGGGAAAAGAACAAATTATAGAATTGAAAGGAAAAGAATAAAGGAGTTTTAACAGAAAACTTTTTAGTCTGAACATATGTAAACAACTACCATATATTCAGTCAAAATCTCAATGGGCAAGAGTGATAAAATGCAAAACTTAGTCTTTCTTTATTATTGACTTCTCAGCTATTGACATTTAAGGTATTATTTTAAAGTACTTTCAGACCATAGTTCATAAGGAACTGACAGAGAGAACTGGACTAAGCCTGGGGGTTCAGAGACTACTACTTATTCTCCCTGCTGCTAGCCATCAGTCTTTTAGTAATGGCACTTACCATCACAAGTGGCCTTACTGGGATGTTCTCTTGTGACATGCCTGGTGGGGGGTCATTCCATTCTGGAAATTTAATAGCATCCTTTTGGTATGGGGGCCTCTTTGGATATGGTTTCAAGGGTGAGGAAGGAGGAAATCTAAAAACCAAAAAGGAAACTATTATTATAGTCAGTGGAAGACAACACAGATATTTTAACAATAATCATTTCTTGTATCCTTGAGAATTTATATAACAGCAAAGGTCATATACTAAATGAGTTCATACTTAATCAAATCATTATACATAGCTAACTATACCCAACAATATGATTTTTTTTTAATATTCATTCAGGCCAGCCGGTGTGGCTCAGTGGTTGAGCTTTGACCTATGACCCAGGAGGTCAAAATTTGATGCCTGGTCAGGGCATATGCCCAGGTTGCAGGGCTAGGTCCCTAGTGAGGGGTGTGCAGGAGGCAGCCAATCAATGATTCTCTCTCATCATTGATGTTTCTATCTCTATCTTCCTCTCTGAAATCAATAAAAATATATTTTAAAAAATACATTCATTCAGCCCTGGCCAGTGTGGCTCAGTTGGTTGAACATTATCCCACACACCAAAAGGTCACAGGATCGATTCCCAGTCAGGGCACATCCTCAAGTTGCACACTCAGTCCACAGTCAGGGTGTGTTGTGTGTAGGAGGCAGCCAATTGATGTTTCTCACATTGATGTTTCCTCTCTAAAATAATAAAAACTAATTTAAAAAAATTCATCATGCCCATCAAATAACATTTGTGAAGAAAAACAGGAATCAACCATATGACACAATTTTAAATAAATAGAATTTATTCTCTTACTATTTGACTTTCATGATTAAATATGTTCTTAATGGATGCCCTAGTAAGCCATTCCTTTCACCTAGCTCAAAATCCTTACTGCCTCATACTGTTCCTATCCCTCCTAGGTTTCAACAGCATTACTCCTGAACTAACACACAGAAGCCTAAATACAATCTAACTCTCTTTGAACTAGTCTAGACCATACCTGATAAGGAACAACAGAAATGTAATTAATACATAATTTACTTAAAGGCTCTTTTTCTGTTAGCTTGTTAGAAAACAACACACTGCATTGCATGGTATTGCATTGCATTGCATTGCATTGATGAACCAAAGCACGAACTCTAGTTCCTGATGTTGACATAGAAGTCCGTAGGTAATTAACTTTTTGTTTGTTTTAATCCTCACCCGAGGACATGCTTAGAGAGAGGAAAGGAGCGGGACCACACACATTGATATGAGTGAGAAATATTGATTGGCTGCCTTCTGTTCCAGGGAACAAACCCACAACCCTGATAAGTGCCCTAACCGGGAATCAAACCGGCAACCTTTTGGTATACAAGACAACATTCAATCAACTGAGCCACTCCAGTCAGGTGGAAATTAATTTTTTAGTTTGACTTTTTACTTATTTAAGCCAAAATAAAGGCTTAAAGTTTTGTCCATGATACCCATAGGAAAAATCATTCAAATAAATTATAAAGATCTTATTCCTAAGAAAAATGCAGAAATAAATAATTTTTAAATGTCTAAACAAGGAAACTTCTATCGAGATGAATCAGAAGAATCACAAATAAAGAGTGCTATGGAGAAACAATTCAAAAGCAGTCACAATGGACTTGGAAAAAGATGACTGACCGAGAGAAGCTGAGATTCATCTTCTCTGAAAAGAAGATCCAATAGCACTTTATTTGAAAGGTCAGTTTTGAGTAAGCAAGAAATAAATGAGGTCTGCAAATCATTAAATCAAGTTACAAATAAATAAATTGAAAGACAGCTTAAATTTTTGGTATTAAGTTACCAAGGCAGATATCTCCAAATGATTCCAAAATACAAATTAAATTGAACTCTAAAGCCAGTAAAAGTTACCCTAGCTCATAAGTAGAGCATGGTTAGCTTGTTAGAAAACAACACACTGCATTGCATTGTATTGCATTGCATTGCATTGATGAACCAAAGCAAGAACTCTAGTTCCTGATGTTGACATAGAAGTCCATAGGCTTTTTTTTTTAGATGCCTAACAATCACAACAAAAGTCCTATTTCCAGCCAAAGTATAACATGTATGCATACATACACGCTCACACTCGTACACTCTCACATTCACATACAATACTGCATATAATTCCAGCAACACTGGAAGGACAGCAACTACCCTAAGACCATCCTGCCACAAAAAGAAAAACCCATGTAGAGATGCCCTGAGGATGAAACCTCACATAGAAAGGAGAGGTTAAAAAGGCACCATGTTTGTAAGCAGAGAAAGAGGCCATTTTCGAAGTGAATTTTCTAGCACAACTGATGGCTTATGGGTAAAGGGCAAACTGCCAAATGAACCTATTCTAAATTTTTGACCAAAAAAAAAAAAGTGGGCAAAATAAAACACTTTAAGCCCTAACCGGTTTGGCTCAGTAGACAGAGCGTCGGCCTGCAGACTGAAGGGTCCCAGGTTTGATTCCGGTCAAGGGCATATATCTTGGTGGCGGGCACATCCCCGGTAGGCAGCTGATCGATGTTTCTCTCTGATCGATGTTTCTAACTCTCTATCTCTCTCCCTTCCTCTCTGTAAAAAATCAATAAAATATATTTAAAAAATAAAAAATAATAAAACACCTTAGCCATCTAAATAACATCACAAGGAGACAGCATTTCACTTACCAGACTGGCAAAAATTTAAGTCAGGCAATATCAAATATTTTCTACTGGGATAAAAATTAGCATACTCAGTATGAGAAAGTTTGGCATTACCTAGTAAAGTTGAACATGCATACTGGTATATCCTCTAATATAATTCCACTCCAAGGTAATTCTGGGTATCCTAAAGAAACTTCCAAATGTGCAAAAGGAAACAGGTTCATAAATGTTCGTGGGAGCATTGTTTATAAAGCAAAAAAACTGAAAGCAACCCAAATCACCACTAAGAGAAAAACAGATATATTGATATAACAAAATAGGATATAAATGAGAAAAATCTCAGGAACTATAATTAAATATATCAACATGGATGAATCTCAAAAATCATGAGAAATATAAGAAAAAATCTGAGAAGCACACACACTCTTTAATATCCTTTATATAAAGTTCAAAACAGAAAAATATTTCAGAAACAAATCAATATACTGTTTATGGATATGTGTT